GTTGGTGGTGTTGGTGTTGTTGGTTGGTTGTTGTTGTTGTTGTTGTTGTTGGTGGTGGTGGTGGTGGTGGTGGTGGTGGTGGTGGTGGTGGTGGTGGTGGTGGTGGTAGCGGCGGTGGTGGTGGTGGTGTTGGTGGTGGTGTTGTTGTTGTTGGCGGTGGTGGTGGTGGTGGTGGTGGTGGTGGTGGTGGTGGTGGTGGTGGTGTTGATGTTGTTGTTGCTGTTGCTGCTGATGTTGTTGTTGGTGTTGCTGTTGTTGCTGGTGTTAATGTTGTTGCTGTTGTTGCTGGTGTTGTTGTTGTTGTTGTTGTTGTTGTTGTTGTTGTTGTTGTTGTTGTTGTTGTTGTTGCTGCTGTTGTTGTTGTTGTTGTCGGAGTAGCAGTAGAAGTAGTATGCAGTAGTAGGTGGGTAGCAGTAGTAGTCGTGGAAGTGGTAGTGATATGATTACAAAAAATTAGTATTATTACTAGTAGTATTTGCAGGTAGTAGTAGTAGTAGTAGTAGTAGTAGTAGTAGTAGTGGTAGTGGTAGTGGTAGTGGTAGTGGTAGTGGTAGTGGTAGTGGTAGTGGTAGTAGTGGTAGTCGTAGCAGCAGCAGGAGTAGAAGCACTGGCGTTCGAACCAGCAAAGAATTAGAAGCAGGACCAGCACCACCCTTGTGCTAGTACTCGTGCTAGAAGTCGCACGAGCCGTAGTACTGGTGGTATCAGTACTGCTGCTAGTACTGCTAGTACGATCAGCACACCAGTAGTATTGATAGTACTAGACTCTTAGCAGCATTAGAAGTACAATAATAGCGCTAGTAGTAGCAGTAGTAGTACCAGCAATAGTAGTAGTAGTAGTAGTAGTAGTAGTAGCAGTAGCAGTAGCAGTAGCAGTAGCAGTAGTGCTAGTAGTGCTAGTAACTCTTCGGCAGCTTCGGGCTGTGCAGTCCAAGCCTCTGTGTCTAGAAGAAGAATAAACCCGACTTCCGCTGGCCTGCTTGCAGGGCACATCGCTATGTTGCGCCCGGGCTTTGGCTGAAGAGCGACTTTTGCCACCGGGCTGTGCAGAGGAGCGAAGTTATGCGCTGGTTTCGCAGCCTTTGGACACTGGCTTCGCGAGCACCTGCAAGTGATTTTCGACCGATCTAGCACTATAGAGATGATTATACCCAACTGACTGCTGTGCAGTTGCCGGTTTCAGATACCTGCAGGGCCGCCGAAGTCCCCTTGCACGTTCCACCAGCAGCTGCTGCAGGAGCTGGCGCATCTTAAGCATCCTGCCACCAGAGCAGACGCTTCGCCCTCGGAGTTTGAAAGGATTTCGACTTCGTCGTGATGAAGGTCCGGTATTCTAGTGAGTTCACATATAAACTATGCAGTTTCGAACGCAAAGGGCAGCACCGCAGCTGACCGTCTCCCTCGCACCCGTAGCACCTCAAAACAAAGCCCGAACGAGCGCGAAGTTCTGTCGATGCAGCGAGAGTCGGAAGCCTTCAAGCTGCAGCCTTGACGGGGCCGTTCTGACTGGTTTCTGGCGCTTACGGGGCTTGGACGCCACAACGAAAGCTGAGTTCACCTTGCTCAAAAGGTCCCAGAAGGCACTGGTCGAATGCGCTCTCCGACAGAACGGCTGCTTGGAGGCACTTGCTCATCAAAACGTCCTAATCAGGTTTCTGACGTCAAGCTGCACCCCGTCAAGTTCGGGGCTGGCTGTCGCAGGAGTTCTGATTCTGGCGCACCGGGATGTGACTTGCGTCCGAATCAAAATAGTTGGAAGGCAGATCCAGAAGCAGAGAGCGAAACCAGACAGCAAGAGCAGCTGCGCTCACTAAGTAACACGTTCGCACCTTCTGAGCGTATATCACGGCACTTACTGCATGAAATATCACGTGACGACAAGAGACTGATCACGATCTCTGTCAAAGCTGAACATCAACATGACTGCAGATTGGTTACATTCTCTGTTCAAGCTCAGCATCATGGCATCATGGGTATCGCGCGGTATCCTAATAATGTTCTTCAAAACACCGTCTCGGGTTTGGATTAGTGAGACTTCACAAGATGCCGACCCAGACTGTCGGCCTCCAGGTCCTGAGATAAGAACAGATTAGAAGTGTGCCTGAGGCCGTGCGTTGGAGTTTGCCTCCGCAGAGCTACGGATGGACCGTGACGTTGATGCTTGGACCGCAGACAAGCAGCATTCGGGCTTTGCGCTCACGTGTCCGTTTGGTATTTGCCTGAGGCACCGCCCCACGAGCCAGAGCCCAGCTTCAGCGGGCCGTAGCGTAGACAACGACTCCCCGATCACGATATTCTCTTGGAGTGGGTCCCTTGTAGCTGACGCTTGTATACCGCTACGGCTTAACATGCATTGGTTGGCATTGTGTTTGCGAAAGACCCGTGAAAGACCAGGTTCTCCTCGCGGTGCGTCAGGCTTGGCAGGCCGGTACTTCTGGTGTCTTTCGGTGAGTTGCGAAGGCTTTACGGCCTGCCCGCGGACGAAACAGCTGAAACAGCTTTGGCTTTGCCCCCAGACCTGAACCCGAAAGCCTGCCTAGACTCAACGTTTCCCATGACTCGTGCTCTGCAAAAGGGTGAGTAGCTGTCAGTCTTATCTACTGTCAATCACTGGGCTTGCTGCTGCTGCTGTGCTGATGACGATGATGATGACGACCGTGGCGTTGTTCGACTTTTCGGGCTTGGATTTTTTTTTAAAGCCGTGAGAGACTACTGACTAAAGTGAACCATTGTCATGAACATGACATGATGATGATCTGATGGGTTATCGATGCCGATCCAGAAACCTCCAGTGTTGAGGCAGCTTCCTTCGCGCTTGGCCCTGCCCGACGAGACCGCACGGTGCCGTCCGGGAGAGTTCCGGGGGTCGCTTGCACGGGTAAAATTGAACCAACTTCACCGCTGCTGGGGGACCGCGATCGACAAAATTCAGCCCTTCCCTGCACCGCACAGAAGCCGTTTCGGTCACAACGTTAGACGGAGCGAAATGGCCACTGCAACGGCCGCACCCAGAACAACGACAGCGGCGGGTCTAGAGTCGAAACGGTGATCCTGGACTCCTCCGGAGGTGCTGCTCGCTGCCGGTCGTTTGCCCCGGTCACGCTCAAGGCACTTTCAAGCCCAGGGTTGCGTCCCTGATGCTACATGACTTCAGGGAGGTTTGCGATTTCGACAAACCCGGCAAGTAGAGAGAAAGAAGTTGGACGCAGATCGGGAAACAAAGTCTGCGGTGTGGCCTTGCTCGTAGGTACAGGTGCAGTGCTGTAGCAGGAAGGTCGAATTTCAATCGCGCTCTTCTTGCTAGGTCGCCGAAGCCGGGCAGTCGAAGAAGTACAAGATGCTCCTGACACTGCTTCTAGTTTGTGCTTTCTGCAGCCTGTTTGAGTGAGTCGGGAGACAGGCAGGTTGGGCAGGTCAATGTAAAGCGCTTGCGGCTGCCAACATATGCCAACATAGGGTCATCGGGTCATCTTGCTTCCGCACGGCAGATAGGTCGGTCTTATCGTCTCAAATCGGGTGCTGTGTCGGATGCCCCAGAGCTGCAGCTGTTTTCAGTTCGCCCATGACTTCGCAAGGGTTAAGGCGGAAAGACGAAAAGATGCAGCACCGCTTGCTCTTGAGAGCTTCAATGCACATTCAGGGCCCCCGGACAGGTTCGAAAGGCAGTTGAAGGTATGACAGATCGACTCACAAGAGTCTTTCGGTTGAGAAGCGCGAAGGAGCTGGAGCTTATGTTACAATGTTGGTGAGCCTATCAGTCCCGTTGGTGACAAATTATCGTGTCCGTGCCTCCCTCGGGCGCCCTCCCGCGCTGCCTTGAGATTTCAACGCAGCCTAAGCGTATTCAGCATACTCACTTTGTATAGTCGGTATGATTTAATGCCTGCAGCCTTCCCGATCCTGTCCATATTGCAAGTATCCGGTGTGGTTCTCCCGCACACATTGCACGGGCAGGTGGCGGACGTTGAAGATCAGTGGCTGATGCAGGAGCTGTGGCATTCGGCCGGTATGCTTTATCAATGTGCAAATTCGAAACTTGAGGACCTTTCACTGACTTTGTTCGACACCCGATGCTTTTGGGAACTGTAAACATCTGTTGCCAAGATGCTTTGCGACGTCGGCCGTGCGATGCCATTGAGGTTCAAAGAATGTCATAGAACACGTCAGAAGGCAAAGCCTCTGGGTGAGCGAAGTCCTGTAGCTACATAAACTATACGCGCGGTTTTATTGACAGTACGTTGCATCCATACATGCTGTATCTGCGATTTCGAGGCCGCAGAGAAAGTCATAAAACTGCAACTAAGCCCGAACTGTCTGGACTGAGAAGTTCGTTAAGAACAAAATGGCCGCATTCTGACCGGTGAAGATCTTGGGCAGCGCAAGCTATACGTCGCTGTCCCATGCTCTCCTTCTGTGTATCCTAAACCTGAAGCCTCAGCGCGCCTCGGTTCCGATAGTCGTGCGGGGAAAAAGTCGCGGCCCCCGAGGCCAAAGCCCGCCCTAAAATGTCTGAGACTCACAGTCGGTCTTCCATGCTGGTCAGGCTTTGCTTTGGTGTTGCAGGTGGCGATTTTCCATTCCTAAGCCCTAAGCCTTCCGCGCCAGCGGCTCTCCCATGCCTCCCCAGAGCCGCAGCCGCAGTCGGAGCCTGGATGAAGCAAGGAGCCCCCGGGCTGTGCTTACATGTCCGGTGTTGGGGTTCAGGAGATTCAGGAGTTGCAAGGATTTCAGGGCTCATCTGACTTGGGAGTGTCAGAGCATGTGTTCAGAGATCCGCCATGGATACCCGTTCAGTGATATTTTGGATGTGATGGACTGCGCGAATCCCGAACGAACAACCGATGTAAGCTGCACCTTCGACATCTCCTGCACCCCATGGGCCCCGTGTGACACATGCACTGCAAGCTTTACGGGCCAGGCAGGAAGGTCTTCTTGTCAGAGCCGCCTCCTCAGCTTGATGGCGGTCGTGAGATTCACTGCGATTTTGAGAGGGCGACGCCAAAATGTTGCCGCACAGTTGACCCCTCGAATTCTCTCGACATTCCTGTTCACAGAGCCTTGACCGTATCCTATGTAGACAGCAGCTTTGCCATGACTTTTCAACTACCACCAGAGTAGGATATGGCAATTATGGAGGGCAAGATGAAAGATGTACTCGTAGGTTTACTGCTAAGGCTGCGCCGGCTTGTGCAAGTAGCGTATAGCCAGGATGGTAGATGGAAGAAGGCCCGAAACCGATCAAACGGTTCAATCGCTTGCGAAGGTTTCGGCACTGTCTGGCAGCCTGCTTCTAGAGCGGCGCGACGTGGCTGCACAAGCTGTATGAGCTGGCATATTCCCACTCAGCATATATGACGGACCCTGCCTCGGCTTGCCCGCAGGATCGCAGCTAAGCATGTGATGACGTCGTGATATGTGACATTTGTTGTCGGACTACAAAGCAGGAACGTGATGTAAGCCTCCGCTGGCCTGGTGACATTCCACTCTCCACTGGCATGGCACTCGACCACTTGTCGCAGGAATCTCGAGTCTAGAGCTGTGTCTGGAAGTTTGCAGGAATTTGTCTGCAAAGGTGAGACGAGAGGAAGCAGTTGTTCGAGTGCTGTGATCTACTGGTTGAGATCCGTTTCAAGTCCTCGGCTGGTCCTGGACACGCGCTGCTGGCATCAAGATGACGAATCGGTCACCAGCCAGGTTTCACTACCAGCGATGACATCGCCACAGTCAAGAAGGCTGTGCAACAAGAGGCTTGCAGACCGCTTGAGTCAGGGACATGCTTGGAGATGGTAGTCAGCTCCGCCCCGCCGGATCGAGTTGGCACAAGGGGGGATCTCATAGTGTGGCTGCAGTAGCCTTCGGACATTTCATCAGGTTCTGAATATCCGTAGTTGGTGATCAGATCTACCGAGCCGGTAAGCCTCACAGAACAGCCGCGTTTTGCAGGCCAAAGAGCCTCTTGCGCAGCTGAAGCTCATCCAGGCTTCGGGGCTCGGGCATGTGTTGGCTCGTCGGCATTGGATCAGTGGAAGAACCGTGAAGAAGCGAATGTTTCCTTTCAATTCCTGTAGATCAGACTTTGGGTGTCAGGATTTGAGCTGCGCCTGCGCAAGCATCATGTCAGACACACATAAGGGGTACTGGCTCTGTGCATTGCAATGCAGCAGGCGCATAACTATAAGCTCACTCATGCTTGGCCTGTTTCCAAAGAGCCACCCTGAAGCCCAAAACTGTAGAGGGCATCTTGCTGTGGTACTCCTTGTGCAACCTTCGACGAGTCCTGTAAGAGCCCTAGTTCTGGTTGTTGTCGTGAAGAGAATCTGCTTTTGTAGCATATTCATTTATTGGTCTACGCACTGCCATGTTTGATTCGATCGTTGCTACTTTTTTGATTGATTTATCAACACTTCTATCACTCGTCGCTGGTTGTTGCTCCATCGCCACTACAATTAATTGATGCGGCTGTCGCGCTGCCCGTGCTTTCCGTGCTTTGAGCCTCATAGCCACTGTTGACGGTTCATAATAATCAGGAGGGCTTGCCAAGCGTATGCTCATGGTCACGGTCACTCTGATAACGCGAGCTCACTGAAGCCAGGAACGAGGAGGTCGGGAACTTTCGGAGGCCCACCTGCGACCCTCTTCAATGTTATCGTGTTTGCGATGTAGGTATACGTAGCGTGACACACATGCAGACTAATACACAAACAGAGATTTGGTTGCTCCGGAAGGACCAGCTTTGTGGGAGAGCTCGCATGCTCGCTTCTGGCAAAGCCTGTGGCACACACACACACACACATATATATATATATATATATATAATGTAACATATATAAGTATATACATAGACACACACACACACATATATATATATATATATACATGTTTCGCTGGCCTCACATTCCGTCGGACGTTGTTCGGGCATGGTTCCGGCCCAGTGACCAGAGGATGCCCGTCAGTGCAAACAAACGTGCTAAGCATGTTAAAACACTCGGATGTATGCCAGCCCATACAGCGGCCTTAATTACTGTATGCCCCGGCCACAATAGCAGCAGACAGCTGACAAGACAGGGCCTGCCCTAATGGTCGAGTTTTCAGTGTCAGTGAGACCTGTGCTAAGCAACAGGGACCCTGATAGTCGTGGCGACTTGTTGGCTACCTCACAACTCTAGAACATGCCGCAAGGTGCAGGGAGTTCAGAGCCACACACTACAGTAGGGCTACGGTAGCTTCCATCAATAGGGCAGGCCGGAGTGTCAAACCTTTGGCATGTTGCAGGCAACATGCCTCGACGAGCTTTCGCACAGCAGCAAAGGCGGGTGGTCATTTGCAGTGGTTTCGCAGTATCTGACAAACCGATAAAATGGATTGGTTCTTCAGGCGACAGCGCATCGACCGACTCATTTGAACAGCATGTTGAGAACCATCGGCTCCATCTGGCCATCGGCTCCATCTGGTGCATTTCATCCATGTGCCGTTCCCGCCGAAAATTTTGTAGAGGCCTGCTGGATCTCACAGCGCTCCGCTTTCCTGGGCACCTGGCCCTCGTCGGTTTCAGCGACGGGACGTTGCCACCTGCCAAAAGTTGTAGCCACCCCCGCAGCAGGGTCCTAACAGTCAGTCACGGCGGACTCACCGACCATGTTCAGAAACCGGATAAGGCTCTGGGTGCTTGTCGTTTGCTTATGGCTGAACTGACACAAAGCGGAATCGTAGAGGCCACTAGCAGCAGTCACCCCCAAAGCATTTAGCGCAGACCGCTGCTCAGCCAAAGGCGCCTTTGGGACTTGGAGCAGGGCACCTTGGAACAAGGGGATATGAATCATGAATTCGGCATTTCTGCCCTGGGTTTGCTTGGGATCGAACCAGTATTTTGCAGATTTTGAGAGAGATGCCAGGAATGCGAAAGTTCTGGTTATGGACGCAGTGGGAGGTGGGGGTACGTCATAAACATGTCGCAAGGCCACAAGGCAAACGGGCAAGCCCCCTTCCAAAGGTTACACCAGTTCTGCAAACGACCCCGTCTTAATTCTAGAGTGTAGTAATTGAATTCATGTGTCCAAAGTCCGTCAGATTTCCTCAGTTCCACGTGGTTTATCGTGGTTTCGTGACATATAATGGGAATCCCTGGCAAGCGTCAAAGCGCTCAGGCGTTTTGGCACACCACCTCCTTCGTGGCGGCCCACCTTTGACAGGACCGGTCGGTCGAATCTGCGAGGGCAGAAACCACTGTGCTCATGCTTGTTTAGCAAGCGGCTCTGGCGTTTTGGATGCAGTGTCAGCGTAAAATGCTGCATCATGTGTTGCCTAGTCTTTGCCCGAGACTGAGTGATGCAGATGTGGGCACTTCTCACCGGGAGAAGACAAGAGGTAAGTTCTAATTTAATCGAGATCCACGATGACCCGTGGCCTATGCCCATATGGCGTAGAGTCGTGCATTACCAGCAGCTGTCGAAGATGGAACCCGGCAAAGCCCAGCTCAGCACCAAAATGGCAGGAGAACTTCCCACGCAACTGCACACATTTTTGGCTGTGATTACTATGACTATGTGGGGGGCGATAACAGGATACAAGAGAAATTGTTTAGAGTCCTATATCAAGAGAGCTGTTTGGCGCAGGCCTGGAGGTGGATTGGGAGGGTCGCCGTGCTCTTTCAGGACGAGGGGAGCCCGGATTATTGGGGACAAGGCTTGCCATTTTTGGGTTGGATTGGTTTGAAAGGGTTGTTGAAGGTTCCTTTGGCGCCCAGGGCTCCGAACCCAAAAGCAAGCCTCCACCTCCGGTCGGGTAGTTTCTCGGATCCGGCTTTGTTGGGCCTTGTGCCTTGAAAGCCGAGATGCTCGTCTCCTCTCAGAATTCCGCGCCTGAGAGCTTGGGGACCAGCAACTTGCAGCCGTGTGGGATACCCAACAAATCGAGTGACCGTTTCGATTAGTGTTGTCAATCTACCTTGGTTTACGCGCTTATTAGGGGGATGCTGCCTACAAGAGCCTCGGAGGAGATATGCACCACAATGTCCGGCACTGGGATTTGGAGCAGGGCCGATGCTTCTCTGCTGCAATGCCAATGTGGAAGCATTGAGCCTCGTTCCGGTTCTGAAGCAGGAGCCGCTGCAAGAGCAAGTTGGGACCATTCATCCAGCCAAGTGTATCAGGTTCCCATACGGCCTCCAGAGGCTAGCAAAGCACTTTCACGTTCCTGCAGCCGATCACATCACTGCATCCTTGCTTCGAGCTGGCCCAAGCCCGAAGCGGAATGCTGTAATCTCCAAATCGAGTCAACTATCACAGACGCCAAGCCCTTCAGCGCAGTGATTATAGGAGTGTCAGGTTGGTAAGTTATTGCATGATGGTATAGGCGCACGGGCCTGCAGGTTTACACTGCCTTACCGGCCACAAGGACATCATCAACGGCGCCCAGCGCCCAGTGTCCTCAGGATTTCTAGCATTAACATTCCTGCAGAGTAACTGCAACTGTACCGGCTTTATTGTCACATGTTTTGTGGGCTATCCAGAAAGCCATATAGCCTTGTAGGCTTCATGTTATGTACAACGTTACGGGTTGCACTCTTGTTGTTTACAGTCGCCTTTTTCTTGTATCTTCAGGGTACCAATGTACTTTGGTAATGTTCTAAGACGTGTGTGGGCCAACAGAATAAGGCAGCTTGTGGGAACTGTCAAAATGTAAGTGCCACGATGTGGCGCTGGCTTGCGGGTTAGCTCTAGATGCTAGCTTATTCCGCATGAAGCGGTACACAGGAACACGCTTAGCTGCTAGGTCCATGTTGGGTCGCTGCTTTGGAACTTCCGTGAGCGGTGCACATGTCGCAGGTGCTAGTGGACTGGAAGCGCCAACAGGCTGCCACCTACGATCGTGGAGGCACGAACTGGTCAGATTAAGGTGCAGACTTCGGCCCATGCATCCTGGAGCACCCCGAGCCTTAGAAACCCACACACGCCCTCTCGAATCATGTTGAGAAGGCCCGGCACAGAAGACTTCCCGAAACCTTGTGGTCGTTTCTAGATCCACGGACAGGTGGGTAAAGTTCCGTGGACGAGCCCAGAAGCCGTCATGTCGCGCTGAGAGAATGCGGAATACATAGAACTCTGTACGACAGTATTGGGAGCAGTGAAGAGGGTTTGGAAGCGTGTCCCAGATTTTGTTGTCGTATATTGTCCACTCAAACACGCAACTTATGTCCGAAGTTTGTGGGACATCTTAATCGTTTAGTCGCAAAATCCGCAAACGAGCTCTCTTCCCAAGACAAAACCACAGACGGAGGCCTCCTTATTTTCTGGGACCTTGCCAATGGCAAAGCTTCGCACACGAATCCCGGAGCTATGAAAATGTAAGCTGTGCTGTAGCTTCTGCTGTGGAGTCGTCCGTTCCCTTCAATCAAGCTGTGTTTGTCAAGTTCTAAACGACGCAGCGTTGGGATCTGATTTTGTCGGAAGGGATGTGGCCTGTAGGTTAGGTGGCGAAGCACAGGTATCCCAAAGTAATGCCCAGATGTGATTGAGTCTTGTCACCCGAGCCAAGCCGAGGATCTCTGCGCACGAAGGCACCTGGCACCTGCACTATGCAAGAGAAGAGCATTCGTCATCCTCCCTTATTCGGTGTCCATTCAAATTCAAAGGCATTTGTTCATTTTTTATTCGTAGCGGAACCAATTGCACAATCCGATGTGCTTTCCTGTCTAAGCTGGAGGCAGCCTTTGTCCTGCATGTCGGTCTTCCATTCTAGATTCCAGCATTGTGGTGCCTGCGTAGCGCGGTAGGATTCCGTGTTCACACCAATGTCCACTGGTATTATGTTGAGGGCCATTGGGGCAGTGAGTCTGAAACTAACCGCCAGCCCAACCCTTTTTAAGCATCTAGCAAATGCAGCGGGGCCTTTTTGTCAAGAGTTCACCTCCTCTTCTGCTTATCGTCAGCCATGCTGCAGATTCGGACAGCGTCGGGTGAAGGACTCGTTGCGCTTCACTTGGCGAGCTTTCTCGAGACGCTTCCCGCTGGCATGCATCCGGTCCGGGCACTGAAGCAGCACTTGCACGGCATTTGTGGGCTTTCAAGGTTCCGACAAAGATTCGTATTCCTGGACCAGGGGGATAATGATGTGCTTGTAGATGGAGATGGCAGATTAAAACCTGGCGAAGTTCAGGTCGTGTTTCTAAGCTTCTGCCCAGCTTCTGACATGCAAGTGGAAGCGCTTCAGGATGCTGCAATGAATGGCCTGGCATCAGAAGTGGAGAACATTCTGCAAAGGCCGCAAGACCCAGATTTGGGCGATCCGGCCCCTCTGTTCGAGGCATCCGAGCACGGCCAAACAGAGGTGGTGCGCCTTCTGCTGGAGGCCAACGCAGACAAGGACAAGGCCACAGATGA